AAATAAATAGTCCAAAAAGGTGTCGTTTTGGACCCAAAAATTAAACAACCCACTGAATTTGCCATTTTACTGGAGCTAGAATCGCTTATGAAAGCGAAAAAAAGGACGAACAACGTGCACCCAAGGTTCTTTATCCCAGAAGGCAATCAAGCAGACTAATTGAAGAGAGTCTTAAAATTGAGAACAAGATTATTCAATGACAAGAAATAACTAAAGAGTCTCAAGCAACTCAAATGCAGCACCATCCATTGAATCGTTTAAGACAACTTAGAACCGAATAAACAAATAGTAAAAGAAACGCAGAATTTCAAATTGGACAAAGAAAAAAATAATAAAGCTACCATCTTTTTCAGTCATTTATAGTTTCACACACACACACACACACACACAGAAGCGGACCAAAGAGGTAGAGGAGTTGGACATACCAAGTAGAAGAGGGGGCTATTCCCAGCTCATGACAGTGTTCAATCTTGGCACCCTCCTCAGGCTCCTAAAACGACGACGGTTGGCGATTTTAGGGGTCACTGATTCACTGAACTGTACTGTACGAGGAAGATGAATTCTTCAGACCGCGCAGGGGAGGGTGGATGCTGGATTATGGAAGCGAATAAAGGATAATTTGGTTGACACGCCTGATATTTCTAATAATTACAATGAGACCCTTTCTTTTATTTTTTATTTTAATGTTGAACTCCCTTTGATTCGTCAAACCACACCACAAAAGTTTAATGCTTAAAATTGATAGCCACTTTTTTGACTTTTATGTTTGTTGGGAGCTTGTAAAATTGACCTATATTAGGCATTTCTAATTGTAATTATTTAATCATTTTCAGCAAAAGTGACAATCATGCATTTTTTTTTTTGATATAATAATAATCACGCATTGTTTTGAGTAATAGTAAATGAATTTGAGGTTTATTATTCGTTAGAAATGCAAAAGACAATTTTATTTCTTACTTACCTGATCCAATGGTGAAGGCAAAACTATAGTAATTTTGAAAAGCATGACAAATTAATTAGCCGAGTAATTGGAGATAGTTTCAATATTAACTTTGTTTGTTCGCCTGATTAACGCGGAGAACGAAATCACCTTCAAGAATGCCACAAGAATGGTTCCACTAAATGTGGACCAAATAGTTAGTTAATAAAACAAGGGAAAATGATTTAACTTCTTTCATTTTGGGTACGGGGAGGGACATCATTCTTTACCCTCCTCTTCTTCTCCTCTCTTCCTCCCACCAAAAAAAGTATGCCTTCATTTCAGCGTATAATCTGAAACCATTCGCTTATTTTCATTTGCAGCAGCATTTATATTTTCATCTTTGATCATCCACTGTTTCCTTTCCTCTGTCCTTGTTCATTTATTAATTTCGAGAATAAACAGTTGGTGGATGGATCATTTTTACCTTCTGGCACATTTTCTCTAACGCAGCGTGTCTGAACTCAGGTGAATGATGAATGGAGCTGTTCCAGAAAGCCAAAACGATTCGCCTGAGAAGCTATAGGGACAAGTACCTGACAGCAGAAGATGATGAAGAAAATGTAATCCAAGATCGTGATGGCTCAACCAAGAATTCAATATGGACAGTAGAATTCGTCCCAGGAAGAGATGTTGTACGCTTCATAAGTTGCTACGGCAAATACCTAACGGCCTCGAACATGCCCCTCGTGCCCAGAATGCCCGGAAGAAAAGTTATTCAAACTCTTCCAAACTGCAGGGATCCAAGAATTGATTGGGAACCCATAAGGGATGGTTTCCAGGTCAAGCTTAAAACGCTTTGGGGCAATTTTTTACGTCCAAATGGTGGTGTACCACCTTGGAGAAATTGTATTACGCATGACATCCCACATTTCAGCACAACATCTAATAAAATTTTGTGGGATGTTGAGGTTGTTGAGACTCGTCCAATTCCTGCTGCTCTTAAGAACCATAAGCGAACGCATTCTGATTTTACATTTGACAGATCAAGATCACGTTCTGCTGCTTCTTCTTCCTTCATGTCACATCAACCTAACGTGATGAATTAAATAGATAAGAATTATATACATGTATATACATTCTTTTTTTGTTTCGATCTTTTCATTTGGTCTTTAAGTTTTAGGGGATTTGCTTTGGTGGGACTTGACACAAGGAAGAAGGGGGGGGAAGGAATGTATGGATGGTGTGAGTTGGTTTTTGAGGTTAATCTTGTTTGGCAGGTTATAGATTTGTGGATTTGTAATGGTCAAGAAGAAATTCAACATTCAAGCATTAGAATACTTCCCAATTTAAACTGCAATTCAACAATCTTTTCTTGTTCTTTTTCTCCCCTTTCTTTCATTGTTTTTGGGGAGTTGTCATCATTGTTGGAAAGAGGAACTAGATTCTAGGAAAGGGCCTTGAGGAATAATAAAGAGTTTGTTCTTTTAAGAACAATTCTTTGAGTAGTGGCAATCCCGCATGCGAACAAGTTAGGATGAAAAATTTCCGGCCAGAAGCAAGATAGTAGAAGAAGATTATTAGTTAAAATTTTTCTGAATTGCTTTCTATAGCAACACTTGGACTGGCTAATCACACTTCTTGATTTACTTGTTAATCACTGAAATTTTTGTTTATAATGATGGCATCACTACCTGTTTCTTGTGGAATCAAAGACATTAGAAATTCGCAAAGAGTAACAAAAACATTAGTGTATTCCTGTGAAATTCGCAATTTTTAGCTCCTTCAATGATGGACCTTTTGTCCAACAAAGTCATTAAGTTTAAGTCCTGGGAATTGGAGGTGAGAATGTTAAAAAAAAAAAAAAAAGGTCATCAAGTCATTAGCCATGGGATGAAAAATACCACGATCAGCTATCTTTTTATTTTACACATATTACATCAGAAAAAGTGTAATAATATTAGATTAAATAGTTTTTATGCTACATAGAAAAGTGTGCCGTGGAGTTGAACAAAAATTAACTGTGTTTTAAAAGATTGACAATTGTGGAAAGTCTGAAAGACAGAAAATGGAGGGAGGGGACAATAAAAGAAATCACGCAAAACAGCAAGGCAAGCAGAGTCAATCGACTGAAATGTTGGTTCACCAGCAAAATGTGTCGAAATTCTCCGTATAATCCCTCAAACACATTTTTCAATCACCATTTTATCTCACATACATCATATCAAAAAAGTGTTACAATATTTTTTCATAAAATTATTTCAAATAATTTACAATTCAAACAAGTTGGGTCATTTGAATATGGTCAAACCGGATTGTTGACAAATCAATGGGTACTTTTCTTGTTCAATTCAATCACATTAGTAATGCAGCTTCGACAACTGGCCGGTTCATCAGATTAATCGATTCAACCACCGGTCTGGGTTGGATTTAACAATTTTGGTTTGCTATTTATTCTCCTTGAATTTGGAAGACATACTAAAAATAAAAAGGCAAGCCATGGCATATATTTGGCCCTTATTCCAGATTCCAATTTCCATTGCTCATATCCAATTCCTCGTGCCTTCTTGATGCGAATAAGAGCGCTCCCCGTGCCGGAGAGGGCCAGTACGGTTGGGTCTATTGTACAAATTGATATAGTTGGTGTACTTTTTTTAAAAGATGTTGTACGTTTATAATTGTAGCTGTATAAAATTATTAAATTGACGTACAAGAACAAAAATTATGTGTACAACAAAGAAGTGTAAGTATACATCAAATCATAAAAATTATACAACAATCACGCAATATTACGAAAATGCCAACCGTACAGTCCCCTCATTAGTCATTACACCTTTCTGCATGTGTAGTACGTGTAAAGTCCTAGCACTGTCCTGACTCCTGACCCAAAAAATAAAAGCAGTACCAACACTTCACTTTTTTATCATCAAGAGTAAATGCGTATCCATACATGTCCCCCCTTTTGTTGTAGCATCTCATCTTATAGTCAATGAATAGCTATTCAGATCCAAATAGACCTCAAAGTCTTTCCACTTTATTTCATGTATCAAATAGGGAAGGACATCAGTGTCACGAAGTATCAGCTTGGTCATTAACTATCGATAATGCAACAACTCGTAGGAAATATAGATTTAGTTTGAAAATGACTTCAGAGACAAAGCTAAACCAAGCATCATCAATGTGGATTTGTTACAACATGTGATAGCTTTATTTTCTTAGATTACTTCTTTTTTTTTTTTTCTTAATTGTCATTTTTTATCTAAATTCTACTCTATTCTAATTTAATTAAGAGAGAGGCTCGACGGGACTTACAGAGGTAGGCCCGATGGAGATAGAATCATCACCAGATTAGATGAATATACAGTACATCCGTCTGAATCTTTTGAAAACTCATTTGAATTTTTTAAAAAATCATATATAATGTGACAATTGATGAGAGACAATATTCTTTATTTACTTAGATTACATAAAACCAGGTTGTGTACGCACAACTGCCCTCTTTATGAGCATTATGGCATCTTTTACTACCCTAGCTACCTAAGATAGAATTTATTATGTCTCGTTGAATGTGTTCTTGCATTCAGCTGTCCAATTCATTCATAACTCATTCATTTCCTTACTATCTTGAATAGTTGAATAGTAATGGAAGTCGGAAGAATCTTTGGTTCTTTAATGGAAGTGAGAAGGTTTCCAAGACATAGTGATCAAGCCAAAAAATTCGAAAACCTGATAATGTCGATCCTTAAATGGTTAAATGGAGTTCAATGGTACCGTCCCTTAAGCTCCATGGATTCAAGAATTGTTGATGGATTTGTCCTAAAATTAACTTGCCTTGAAGGGCGACATGTGCGACGTGCATTAAAACTTGTACATTCTAGGATTGTACGTGTCCACAAAATAACAATGTTCAATCTTTTATTAACTCCATTGAGGCTTAACACTGTATTTATTTGTCGGAAATCCCACTAAATTGCTTAGAAAGTTGTTTGAATGTGAGGAATGTATAAACCTTGTGTCAATTTTGGATTCACAGCAAAGAGAAAAGTAAGGAATTTGTGGAAAAATAACGTTTGCATGGATCTACACAGACAAATACACAATGTTTATTCGTAATAGTATGAAATAAAACTACATGTGCTTGCTATCCCGTCTTGACTCTGTAACATCATACCAAATCAAACACAGAAATCCTTAACTTTGATGATAACTAAACAAACATAGAATTCATACGTCAAATCAGACACACTAATGAGAACAGAAACATCATAACGAGCCCACCAATATAATGTACGCAAATAGTAAGTGACTACGGCTTAACAAATGACAAATTTTCAAGCTCTAAGCTTTCACTCGACCCTCATTGGCTAGCTTGAAGAGCTGTGCCTGATGTGCTGCTGCCTTGTTTGAGCTCAGTGCTCCAACAAACGTGTCTCTGACCTGTTGGGTTGTGTACGGGAAATTCCTGTGCACCATGGAGTTGAGAAAAGAAGCTGTGCCTTCCCTGTAGAGAGCTCCAAAGCCATCAGTACGGGTGTTTGAAAGAGCTTGCAGAACACTCATGTTTGAACCAAAGCCAGGAATGCTAGTGGCGCCCAAGGTTTGACCAACTGTTCCCCACCAGCCAAGCAGACCCCAAATCAAAGTTGGGTGAGTCCTCCAGTAGCTGCAAAATTTAAAACAAGAAGATGCTTCAGTTTTTGTTTACATTTTATATGCAGTATTTAGATATGGCAAGGAGGAGTAGCTGTCTATATCAGATGGATCACTTAGTCCCACACAAAATATTTCTCAAAGGCTTTTACTTGACAAATAGTGTTTATGTGCATGTCTATTTCTTCATCTGTTAAGTAAAAGTTCTGCATCTGTCATTAATTGATAATATTCACTAATAATGCAAAGCATTTGGCTACTGAGATATTGAACTTACTTGCATGAGAAAGGGGGAGAGTTAGGATCAAATCCATATGGAGGTGCAGGAGGGACAGTGACGCCAGGAATGGTTGGGGTGCCAGGGTCGATGCCTGGAGTTGTCGGTGGGCTAACAATGGTAGGTGGGTTTACGATAGGAGGGTTTACAATAGGGGTTGGTGTTGAAGGCGTAGTGGGAGGAGGTTGGTAGGATCCTCCACCTCCTGAGGGAGTGGATGGGGTAGGAGTAGCAGGGCCTTCACTTGGTGGTGTACCACAGTTTGCTGGTGGCGTTCCATAGCTTCCACCTCCATGTGAAGGTGTTCCATAGCTTCCGCCTCCATGTCCTCCATGTGAAGGTGTTCCATAGCTTCCACCTCCACCTCCACCTCCATGTGAGGGTGTTGATCCATGTCCACCTCCTGAACTGTGTGGTGGATTGTGACTTGGTGAACCTATAACCAGTTTAAAAAAGTCAGAAAATTCTCAGAAAAAAAGGAAGAAATTTCCTAAGTTTGACAAATGTTTTCTATGCTTGAGGTTTCAGTCTGAGAAAGAACCTGTATGGGGAGTTCCTGCATTTGGATCAGGAGGATAGTAGTTCTTCTGATCTTCAACTGTGGCTGCAGAAATGGCAGAAACGAGCAAGTTTTGAGAAAGCAAAACTGCCACTGTTGCCCACAGTAGCAGAGAAGCCTGCAGTTTGCTTCTCTTCCTCTCCATTTCTTGTCTTGGTTTTCTTTTTCAAGAGAAAAATCAGCAACCGAAGATATAATCAGGACTAAGAGTAAGAGAGCTCAGTGATGAGAGTGAGTGGGAAGGAAGTGTTGCATGCAATGTATATAAAGGGCATTAATCAAGAGACTGGAGTAAATATAAGCAGGTGGTGGAGTGTGTGGTTAGTTGAAAGTATTGCAGGAGCATTTAAGGTGTCATTTAAGCCCCATATTACATGTATGCAGAGGTTTCAAATGGGGTGTCAAGAGGAACACCTCCCTAGTTTCATTTTTTTTCTTGTTTTTCTTTTGGGGCAACACCCCCCAAGTTTGTCTTTGCATTCCGTGGTTGATATGGTTGTGAAACAAGAGATGAGACCAATTTTAACAGTTGTGTTCAGCCTAAGAAGCACGAAAACCTAGCCCATTCTAGAGCATTGCCTGCTTGAGAGGGCTTGAGGGTTAGGCTGCACACTTGCCTCTTTCTGCCTCATATACAGAAGCACATAGATTATGATGTGACAGAGGTCATGGATGGAGAAAGGGTATTTCTTTATTGCCATTCCCTTATTGTATTTTTCCTTGTTTGTGGTAGTATTCCATATTATCAGATTAAACCTCTTGTTTATAACATCAAGCAATGATCCTTTCATGCAACTTGGGAGAAACAAGAGGAGAGTTAGAATTTTCATTCCATGTTGGGATCAAATTGGCATTTTAAGAGGGAAAATGTTGCCAAGTTGTTAAAATTAACTCTTAAATGGACTAAGTTTGGACTAATTAAGTATGGACCTTTTTCTCGTGAGGAAAATTAATTGAGGACGTTATAAATGTTTAGCCAAAAAGAATCAAAACAAAAGGATCCAAATGTGGCTTTGGCCATTCCTTGGGATTCTACTTGGATGGACTTCACTGGTCCAGTCAAAACATGCCCTTTTCCGCAACCTGACAGTGTGATATACAATTATACATGGAGATCAAGAAAGAAAGTTCCCCAAGAAGAATAGGAAGCTGATATTCTAAACATGTATATTCATGTATTTATTTGGCTATTGTTACTGTTATTTCTAAAATAGAGTGAGACATGCTATTAATTCTGACGTGCTATATAAGACTGAAAGGCGAACCAAGAATAAATACAAAAGAAGCAAAATATGTGGCAAACGAACAAAACACATGGGTTTTGATCTAACATAATTGCTATGGCAGAGAAGTAGTTGGAAGAAGTTCAAAAATGAAGGTAGGTTACAATATATCGATGTAGTAAACCCAACAGTAGCAAATGGTCTATTCTCCTTGGTGTTCCCGGCTCAATTGCTCTCAAAACCTTCTTTTTTTTTATTATCATTTTTATTGCAATGAAGTACTGGAAGTAAAGATATTTGTTTATATTTTGTATGGTTATCTGAGAGACAGCTAGATTATGAACGATAAATGCAGTGGAAGCTGTCTGCTGTCTTCGTTCTGCATTTGATGATAGATATATATATATATACACGCGTACCTAATATTACTATCAATATATTATCTTTTACCCTCACATAGTTATAGTTTTTGGAGACCAAAATTACTTTTCTTGGAAACTATCCCTACAATGTTCCTGCAATCAATGTGGAGAACGACATTAATCTAAAATGGTGGCAATAGAAAATAATCCACAGTAGAAATGCCAACTTTTCTAATATTCTTGCAATCAATGTGGAGAAGGACATTAATCTAATATGGTGGCAATAGAAACTAATCCACAGTAGAAATGCCAACTTTTCTTCCTATCTTTTTTTTTTTGTTGGGGGAGGAGGACACACATGTTTATATGTGCAAGTATTGCCAGGATGATGAAGGAATCCATAATCCTAAAATGGTGGTTGACCAATTTCTGATTGACATGAGCTGTCCGTTTATTTAATCTGTAACCTTACAGGTCCAGTTGGTCAGATGGGCTCTTGGTTACAGATATTGATGTCTCTCATTCATTTAGGATGAATTTTGGATCTGGAATGCACCAGCCACCCAGAAAGAGTCTGATAACAAGCACTAGAAGTAAATGGCTTTGATATCAAGCAGTTGAAACTCTCCTGTGTAGTTGTTTTTCGACAGTCTCTCTTAAATGGCTTGCATCATACTTTAACAAAAGTGTCTTTACAATATACATATATATATATATTACAAAAACTCTAGAAAATAGCCATTCAAAAGGGTTCTTTTAGGTGGTAAGTGGTAAATATCCGTTGTCTTGGTCACAAATATTAGAAGGATGGCTCATTTGAAATAGCCTGGCATATTTGCTTCAAGCAATAAATTGATAAATTACAGGCATCGGTAGGAGTTGGAGATCTCTTCACATCACAAATTCACAATGTAATAATTGACTTTGCACAATGACTTAGAAGTAACACAAATTTTAAAGCCAAGCAAATTTCTTTGGAGTCTAATAGAAGTTCAAAGTTTTCTTGATGGTGAGAAATGCAAAAGGCAGAGAGAAAGAAGCAAATGTTCTTGGAGGAAGGAGAAGAGCCATTAACAAATACAAGAAGGTAGTGCCATGAGATGTCTTAATATTCTGCTTCAATGTGTACGAATTTTACTTCACGAAAGTGTCTCTTTGGTAGTCAGTGACTCAATATGGACTATACTAGTATTTGCAGATTGCTTTCTCGAATTTTTCTTTTTAGGGTAAGGTCTGAAATTTAACGTCTCCAAATTAGAGACAAAGCACTTGGGTGGATAATTGGATAAAATATGTGAAACCAAATGTTCCGAGTCATTCCCAACCAATGTATAGTTAGATGATGGATAACGTTATAAGTAGTAATTCTAATGGACTTGTCCAACTATCTCATTCCAAAGAAAACATATTTAATGTGTTTTTTTTTTTTTGTCGACACAGGGGTGCCGGGGTCAATCCTTACGGGGCCCGACTAATTCCTTGCGGCCCGAGCCCGGCGCCCCAACCCGAAAACCCAAACATATTTAGTGTGTTTGGATAGCAGATTATTTGGATAACGTCAGAAGTAGTAATTCTAATTGATAAAGTATTTTTAATGTATTTGGTGAGTATCATCCTTAAATCTGGGAGTAGAGTTAAAGGCTATTGAAGTATTTTTAGCACAAGTTCAAAATTGATGCTTTTTAAAACAACTTTTGTATTTCAAACAATATTAAAAAAAAATTCAAATAATTTTATTATACATTTGAATTAAATGAACAATAAATATGTTTTCACAATTTAAAATTGCAACTTATCAAATAGAAAAAGTATTTGTTCAAGCATACATCCACATAATATGATTAAACACTCAATAACTACTTGTACCAGGTTAGCTTATGAAGAATGTTGAGAAAAGACTCTACCTATGCAAATAAGTTCGATGCAGAAGAGAATTGCTAAATGCTGATCACATGTTGGATTGATATATATATATATAGAAGTAATATGATCAACACACAATTTGGAAACACATTCTCTTGCACTCGTGCAATTATCCCATTCCATGAAACACAATCCAGAAACAAGGACCCAAAAAAAAAAAAAAAAAGAAATGCATTCCACATACGGGAGCAAAGTTACTTCCTAATCACAATCCAAAATCAAGTCCCTTGTATGCTATGCAAAGCTGGAACCTCAATAAGGAGCTACCGTAGCCAGCAGCCATTCTGCTTTCATACCTGTCAAAATGCATCTGGATTTTGTCCTTCCACATTTACAGCAATAACTTTATACACAAAAAACCAAAAATACAAGAGAACCAGCGACCCATATAACACAATCATCTTATAAAATTTTAACAAGGAAAACACACACGCACACACACGTACCTTTCAAGACAATGTATGTGTCATTAAGTAGTTTTCGTTGCAGCAGAAGGCGGTCTGATGAGGCAAAATTTCACAATTGCACAAAGTTTTTTTGGTACCCACCCCCACCATACTTGAAAAATACTTGAAAAATACATCTTTCTCATTGATGCGACTGCCAAAAACAAGATCTGAGCTGAGCTGCGACTGGCCGAGCGAGCTGAGAGGGAGCGAGCTGAGCTGCTACGAACAGAGCTGGCTGGGTGCAGCCGAGCTGAAAGGAAGCGATCTGGCGAGCTGGCCTGGTGAGCTGCCAAATACGCAACCCGAGTTGAGCTGCTACGAAGCGGGCTGGCTGGGTGCAGCCGAGCTGAGAGGGAAAATCCGAACAGACTATCCTGCGGAGAAAGAACAACGGCGGGACTAGAGTCCCCGCAATAGCTCCGACGGTCAAGTCAGTAGAGCTCAAGAGTAGAATAATAGTAAAGAGTACTGTGGATGGCGTACCTTGAGTTGTTGCGTAGTGCCATATTTATAGGCTTAACGGGTAGTAGTTTCCATATAGGAGTCAGAGTCCCCTTAGGGTTCGGAGTCCTTCTAGGGTTTCATACAACCACCCCTGAAGATCCGGAGGCGGCGGCCCATCAGGCCCACTTCATGGAGAGGCGGCGGCTACAGCCGAGCTGACCTCCCTCTACTCCGAGCTGCTCTGTCCGAGCTGTCATATCACAATATCCGAGCTAATCCGTAGATTGGTTGGCCGAGCTGACAGGTCATCATGTCCGAACTGACACGTGGCTACTGGGAAATTTCCCCCACTACACTAGCCCCCCTTTGAGTCTAGAGTCATCGAAAAGTCGCATGAGTCTGGACCAAGTTTCTTGGCGAAGAGTCAGTTCGGTGTGAGACCCATGATTCCACGATTGCGGCCCTTGCTCGAGTACCTTGTAAGACCGAACTGAGTAGGACCAGTTCGTTTTTTGTATGAACTCCTCTTTTATAAATAGACTCTTGTGGACTGAATAGACTTTTGTTTCTTCTACACTTAGCAAAATTTTTCATTCATGTCTTTCTTATCATGCTGTCTAAATACACTTGCGCGAACAGACCCCGGACTAGCGCGCGAACTGACTTCCAAATAGTTCATATATTTGCACGAAAAGATAGGACCATGCACGACCAAACAACTCAGGTCATGTATGGACAGAGTGAGTGAGTTTTAATGAAAGAGCCTTATACTCGGACTCGTTATTGGAGGTCCTGAAGTCAAACCTCAAGGCGCAAGCCAATTCTTCCCCCGTAGGGCTGATTAGGAGGGGTCCAACTCCACACTTTGACTTGATACTCTATC